TGTCCCCGTTATTCCCTGGCTCCATGCCCAGAACCATGCGCCAGGGGCCATGTTCCCTGCACTGCTTGCGACTCACCTGGTGGCTTTCCAGTCATCCTCGAGGCTGTTGACGTGGCTTCGCAGGAGCCACATGGTCTTCAAAACTTCCTTGCCATTCTTGTCCACAAAGCACTGGCCGGTGAAGACGGTTATGGCATCTGCAGAGGCAGGAGAAAGCACAGAGTGGAGGCGTGAAGCGCCCGCAGGACAGCGGGGGAAGCCCATGGTCTGAAACCTGCCCTCTGCCTTGGGCATCCCCATGTGTCTGGTCTCTGGAGCCAGGGGGTTATTTCTAGGGACCTCAGGGGGCATGTGGAGCATGGAGTGAGCTCAGGACACCTGGCCAGCCATTCCCTTCAGCCGCTGTCAGAAGGATGTGGCGGGGCGGTGGGGGGACCAGCAGGAACAGCGCAGGGGAGGGCAGGACACAGCTGGGAACAGCACATGGGAGGGCAGGGACCTCCGGTGTCCCACCAAGGATGTTGTATCAGAGGGGACAACACCAATAGGGACCTCACAAGGGAGGGCAGAGGATTGTCAGGGATATTGCAGGGTAGGACAGGGCACTGTCAGGGGTGTCATAGGGAAGGGCAAGGGAGAACAGAGGACATCACAGGGGAGGACAGGGCACCACTGTGGACAGAAAGGCACCATGAAGACCATCTCCAGGGAGGGCAAGGGGTCACTGGAGACATCAGAGGGAAGGGCAGAGACACCAGAAGGAGGTTGGGGAAAGGAGAAGCACCTGAGAAAGCCCAGTTGACAGTGAAACCGAAGGTGGCCTTGTTGCGCTGGTTCTTGCGTTGCTGGGAGCCCTGCAGCGGGGAGACCTTGATTTCGTTGTTGGTGGCTGTCACGGCAGTGAGGTAAGTGCCACTGAACTCGCCTTTGCTGTTCAATTCATTGATGGTCATATTGGAGCCCAGGTCGTTGATCCAAGATCCTGTCAGAACACACTGCAAAGAGAGAATGAGCACGGGGCACTCAGCACCCAGCCCCACCGCATTGCTGATCGTGCCTGGAGCCAGCCCAGCCCACGGCTGCCTTTACCTTCCGTTCAGCAGAGCAGCTGGGAACGGCCAGTGCCAGGGTGAGCGCCAGGAGGACAGGGGTCACCTGCATGGTGTCTGCAGCTGGGAGGTGGTTGCTGATATTCAGGACGTGCTCCTCACAGGGCTCTGTCTGTGTACCGCCTCCCTCTCCTTTTTATTGCTGCCGGGCCCCCCGTGCCAGCTCTGCCCAGGCATTACATAACCTGGGTGTTTCCGAAGTTGTGTTTCCTAGCGATATGAGAGGGTGATTGCATGCAGATATTCCCAGCAGTTTGTTTCGAGGCAGCTCCTCCTTGCTCACATGCCCCTAAGCTGGAGACGAGCCCAGGCAGCCAGCAGTGAGGTGCAGGGCTGGCAGAGGGTGAGGTCTCGCTCTGCCATGGTCTCATGGTGGCTCTGCTACAGACCAAAATGCTGCTTGGCTAAGATTTTAGATGCTCATTTCCAGCCAGGACAGCTTCAGGGCCAGAGGCAGCCTCTTGGGATATACTGGGAGATGGGCATTGCTGGGACCATCACGCCAGAGAGGGGTCGGCAGTTGGGCAGAGGGAGGGGGGCAAGAACAGGCTGTGTGCGATAGTTAGCCACCCACTATGGGAACTCTGAACTGACCTCCAAGGCAGGAAAAGACCCTCCAAGGGTGGCTCCCCTGAAGTCCTTCCCGCTGCAGACTGGGACCATCCCTGGCATCTTCTCCTGGTCCTCTCCATGCTGCCGGCTGTGGGCGGCTGCACCCCTCGTTATCCAAATGCACCATGCAGCTGCCAGACAGTGCTAACACCAACCTACTCCGGAGATGGCACCCAATCCGCTCCCCCATGCTGGATACCCTCCTGCAGACCTCCTTCTGCACCACACTGCCTGCAGAGGTTCCTTCATGCTGCCCTGCACCCCAGCAGCTCCTGCAGTGCCAAAGGTGCTTGTGGTTTCCTAGCTGCTCTGCTCCAGCCACAGCACCTTCCTCTTGCCCAGACGCTGCTTGCAGGGTGCCCGTGCTATTGTCTTGCCTCGTGCTCGCCGGATTCCCACGCAACCCCTTGAATGGCACGACGGGGCATTAGCCGCTCTGCAGAGGGATGTTTTCCTGTGGCCGGATGGGCACTTCCCATGCCAGGCGAGGTGACGCCCTGGCCTGCGGCCACTGCCAGCTGAGTCTTGCCGGGGCCCAGCGGGCACCACCTCTTCAAGGCGCCTGGGCCTCTCTAAGGGCCTAGAGCGGCTCCTGGCCAAGGCCCGGCAGGAAGGAGGCATTCGGGCCTCTCGTGTCCCCAGCGGGCCCTGTGCACCTGGGCTCGGCTCTGCGGCTCCCCCTCAGGCTCCCAGCGCCCACGGGCCGCCCGCTTGCTGCCCCGTCCACTCGCTTGCACCAGGCTTGAGACTGGGCCTTGTTCCGTTCCTGACAGAGCTGGGGCTTCTGCTGGCAGGTAGTGAGTTTGTTTGCAAAAAGGAACAAAACCAAACATTCCCCAAATAGCTCGCGTGTTGGATTTTGATGCTGACAGGAAGCCATGTTTACGCAAGGATTTTTAAATAGCTTCAGGTTGGTATTTATAAAATCAACCTTATGTTGCATCGGTGGCTGGCCAGGGAGTCTGAGGCGGCTCGTCTCACACCTGTTTTTCCCATCTCTTGACTAGCAGTCTTCTCCTAAAATACTGGGTTGGGACTCCCTCACCATCATGCTGAGGGATCATTTAGATCTGTTCATCAATGAATGCTCTGTTTTTTTCCTTAAAATGGGGAGAGGGAATCTCTTGTAACACTTCTCGATTTTCAGCTGCTTTTTAGTCTCATTTCTGAACGCTGGCTTCCCTCCAACATCTAAATCCACTCCCTTGCACTGCTCATCACTCTGGGTCACTCTCCTCACCAGCTCTCAGCACTTACTGGAGCTCTGCTCCACGTGGCCCCGCTCACTGCGAGGGGGAATTCCCACTCGCTCCTTCCTTTTTCAGGTTTAGGAATTTATGCCAAGACATACTTTTTGCTGCTGCAGCCACCGCGTTTACTTTGGCCGTGGTGGCTGGTGCATGTGCTTGCAGCCTCGCTGCTGGGAAGCACCACCCCGCGCTGCCCGGCCTTGCGCGCACTCATCCAGGACAGCTGCGAGGACGGGGAGGTACTGAGTGAAGCCCAGAGGTGGCCCAAGCAAGTCCAGGTTTGTGTTTGGGACATTCACAACCCGACACAACCATCCCGGTGCTCTCTGCCCGTTTTCCGTTTTGCATTTGCAAGCCCTGAGGTGAGCAGCTTGTCCACTGAGCGCAAGCGCCAGCCCAGCCTGAGGAGGAGCGCAATGGTCCAGCAATATCCGCTGGCAGGAAGGGAAGCAAAACCCCTCAACAGCCTGCGGAGATCCTTAGTGCTGTGCGCCCAGGTGACCCTCCAAATGTAGCCCCTGCACCGGCTGCACAAGCACACATGAGCAGGGATGCAGTGAGGAGCAGGTGAACATCTAGCCCTAAGCTAGAAGCCGGAGGAGGTTGAAGAAGCTCAATGCGGAAAGACCTGGGCTGTAAGCGCATGTGCGTGCGGCTTTGAGGAACGGCTGGGGAAAAGTCCAACATTGTAATTAAGCAAGGATGGAGCTAATTTTGAAAAAAAGACGGTAGGGATAAATGTTAGAGAATAATTGTCTCACAAAGACTAGTCACCATCCCAATATATAGAGGTGTCCGTGCACCTGTTTCCAAAAGTTAACCCTATAATGCTCAATTTTAATTGATACATGTTAAAAAGTAAAAAGAAAGATCCAGTGATGGAGTAACAAGACTGAAGCTCCCAACCCTTGAAGGAAGGTGTCTGTGCAAGCTGCTCTCAAGGGTTAAGGTGTAGGCTGGCAGGTCTCTGCAGTGAAACAAAGTGGTGCGATAAGGGGATGGTTTTGACAACCGTGTTTGTTCTTTGCCTGCTAGATTGGAGCGTGAGTCTATTTTGGTGACTGCCGACGTTAGGCAAACAGCATCTCACAGAAAA